GAGATGGACCGGTAGTCCCCCGCGGCCGGAGCCAAGCTGACCCACACCGCTCAGCCACCTCGCGCCGTCTCCTCCCTCTCGTTCGCTTCTCCCCCCCGAGCGGGAAAAAGCGTGCCGGGGACGCCGGGCGGCGCCCTACGTGGGGAGCAGAGACTCAAGGAGGCTGCAGGCGTCTTGGCCCCGAGCCGGCCTTGCGGCTTTCGGACCCGTTGTGGCATTTGTGCGTTCTGCTCTCCCGTGCCCGCTTCCCACAACTACTTTGCCAGGGAGGGGGGTGACGCAGAAGCAGAACGGCCGGGCCAGGAGTGACGCGAGGAGGCCTGGCCTTGAACTCAGAGGCTGGACATGCCATCCCTCTGATCTCCCTTCCTCTCGCCTTCCTTCCTTCCTTCCTTCCTTCCTTCCTTCCTCTTTAGTTCCAGGTTGATTTTGATGCATTTCCATCCATTGCCCTTCCTTCCTTCCTTCCTTCCTTCCTTCCTTCCTTCCTTCCTTCCTTCCTTCCTTCCTTCCTTCCTTCCTTCCTTCCTTCCTTCCTTCCTCTTTAGTTCCAGGTTGAGTTTGATGAGTTTCCATCCATTCCTTCCTTCCTTCCTTCCTTCCTTCTCCTTCCTTCCTTCCTTCCTTCCTTCCTTCGTTCCTTCCTTCCTTCCTCTCTCTCTCTCTCTCTTTCGCGCTCGCTATTCTGTGCTCAGTGGCTGTGTCGAGATTCGGGGCGCTTCGCTGCCTGAGCCCCGAAAGCCCTGCGGCCTCCACCCTGTAAGCTGCGTTGTGGCTCTGCGGCTCTCCGGGACAATATTTATTCAGTTGTGTTACTAAAAGAAAGAAAGAAAGAAAAAGAAAAAAAAAGCTTGCAAGTTGCATTCCCCCCCCCAGCCAACGGCCGCCTTTGTGACCCAGGAGGGGGGAGAGTCTGCGGCAGCAGCGGCTGGAATGCCAAGTAGCGCCTTGTTCTCCCCCCCCTTGCCTTCCCTCCCTCCCCCGTGCCCCCTCCCCGACAGCAAAAAGGAATAAACGACGTTTCTACGGACTCCTCCTCTTCCTCTTCCTCTTCCTCTTCCTCCTTCCAGCTTTTCTCTGCCCCGGCTGTAAAGAGGAGGAGCTGAGATGCCAGCCTGGCAGACTCGGGCTCTGTCGGGCACGAGAGGGGCTAATAAACCAGGTTTGCGTTGGCGGAACCAGACGGTCTTCTGGGCCTTTGGTCTTGGCAAGGAGTTGTCTTGACTTCTGCCTGTTGCGGGCCGGCTCCTGGCATCTGTTGGGAGACCAGCAGCCCCCTGGCCTTCAGTGCGTGGAGCCGGGCCTTGGGGGGGGCTGGCAGACCCTCCCTTGGCGCTTCTCGATGCTCGCCCTCCGCTCGGCCCATTTGGCCCGAATCTCCCCCCACGTCTCGCCCTCACACCTTGGCGCAGGGGGGCAGGGAGATGTGGCTGCCCGCCCTGCGCCGTGCATGCATGCATGCATGCACTGGCTGGGACCGGGAGCCGGTGGTAGGGGCCACGTTCCTCGGGGGCCCCAAAGCAGACGTAGCCAGGGGGCCTGGCCAAGCAGGAGGCGGGTGCGGACTCTGCTCTCCTTGGCACGTGCAGCAGAGATGGGGTGCTCTATAGAGACTTCGGGGGGTCTGGACCCTCCCCTGCTCGGGCTGCCTTGGGAAAAACCAGCTCCCCCCCCTTGACCCCCACATGCAGCAGGATGGGGTTTTTTTCCTGCCCATTGGCAGACGTCTTTTATCTCTCTGGATTCAGGACCCCTTTTGAAGGGGGGGGGTGTCAGTGGAACTGTTGCTTCTGCCTGCCTGCCTGAAGCCCCCAACTGTGGGGAGGAGCATGGCCATGTCCACCTTTGAGACTTGATCCTGGAGGTCAAGTGCTAGAAGGGCCCCCCCCTCCTGTGCCAGCAAGGTGGTCCCCACGTCCGAGTGGGGGGGAGTTTGGCCGGGCCCCATGTTCATTGCCCAGGCCAGGGGTAGGCAACCTTGGCTCTTTTATGACTGGTGGACTTCAACTCCCAGAATTCCTGAGGCAGCTTGGGGGAACTATGGCCCCCTCATAACTGGAATGACTTCAACTCCCAGAATTCCTGAGCCAGCATGGGGGAACTATGGCCCCTTCATGACTTGTGGACTTCAACTCCCAGAATTCCTGAGCCAGCATGGGGGAACTATGGCCCCTTCATGACTGGTGGACTTCAACTCCCAGAATTCCTGAGCCAGCATGAGGGAAACTTTGGCCCCCTCATGACTGGTGGACTTCAACTCCCAGAATGCCTGAGCCAGCATGGCTCAGCTTGGAAACCTCTCCCTTTCCCCTCAGCAGGCTGGCTCAGGAATTCTGGGAGTTGAAGTCCATGAGTCATAAAAGAGCCAGGGTTGCCATTTCTGGGCTGGTTGGGGGAGCAAGGAAGCCGCTCTTCCAGGGCTCAGACCCCCCCAGGAAGATTTGGACAGGGAGCAGGCTGGGCATTGGGCCCTGGCAAGCGGGTGACGGAATTCCAGCTTCTCCTGGCGTCTGTTGTGCCTTCGGTTGACACCAACCAGGAGAGCGTCTTGGTGTCTCCTGGACCTTCCCACTGTTCTCCTGGGGGGTCTCTCCACCACCCACCCCCGAGAATCTGAATAGGGTTTTTGCCAAGGTAAAAAAAAAATCAGATTAGTCAGAGCCAGCCGTGAACATCTGGGGAGATTTATGTGAAAAACTGTGACACCAGAGCCCCACTTGTGGGGTGGGAGAGGACCCAGAGAGATGGGGACTAGCGGGGGTGGGGTGGGAGAGGCCGGACTGAGTCCCTTGGGCAATCTTGCTCCCCCCCCAAGTTAGTTTTCTGGCCAGGCAGTGGGGGTTGAAAAGGGACAGGCGCCTCCAAAAACGTTGCTCCACCTGGGTGGGAAACCCCCCCCCCAAAAGACACCCTCCTCTGTAGCAGTTCCCAGGCCTGTTGGGAGCCAAGTTGAGGCATGAGTAGGCCAAGTAGCCAGAGAGGGGGGGTCTGCGTCCTGGCTGGCCCACTGACCTCTTCCAGGGGGGGGGTCTCCCCAGGCCTAAAGGATTTTACAAAACAAGACTAGCTGGAGGGCACCAGTGCATAATGAATCAGCTTTTATTCCTTCTTGATCCAGGCCAACAAGAGCAGGTCCGGTCTTTCGCACAGGGCCTCCTGCTCAAACGGGGTTGGACTAGAAGACCTCCAGAGTCCCTTCCAACTCTCTTGGCCTGTGGAAATTCTCCATCCTCTGGCTCTCACCGTTGTCCCAAAGGTGCTTTTTTTCCAAAAGGCAACTGGACTAACTTGGTTCCCCCCCCCCCCTTTGGAAACATTTTGCTTCTCCTCCAAGAAGCGAAGAAGCTTCTTCACGAACTGAGGAAGCTTCTGGGATGAGAAGCGAAACCTTTTCAAAGGAAAAAAAAAAAATCCAGTTGCCTTTTGGAAAAAAGCACCTTTGGGACGACTCTCTTTATTCTGTAATTTTTGTTCACGCTTCAGCCGCAAGGACCTTCCGCCGAAGATTGGGGGGTGGGGGGCTCTTTACTCCTCCTTTACGCGGCCCACATTCCCTCCTCCGAGTCTCTGCCAGGCATGGAGTGCTTCTGATGTCGTGGCGAGGCGTCCCCTTCCTTCCTTCTCTTCCTCCTCCTCCTCCTCCTCCTCTTCCTCCCCCCAGGTGGGCCGGCGGTGGGGCGGCCCTTTTGCGGGACCGTCTGCATGCTCTCAGGCATGCCAGCAGCAGCCGGCTCGCTCCCCACTCGGCCGGGCTCGTCACTCAAGATGGCATTGAAAGAGTCCCCCTGGCCCATCTCG